GAGGCAATCCCCCTCGAACTTCTCCAGCAACACACCGTGCCTGGAGAAATGGCTACTGGAGGGCCTTCGCAGCTTACTGTTGAGCAGCCTCAAATTTCCGAGACCTTTCATGGTGAGGTCTATGATGACGTTGAGGACTGGTTAGCCCAGTATGAGCGAGTCGCCAAGGCCAACTGCTGGCCCACTGAACAAAAGCTATCGCGCGTCTACTTTGCTTTGGCAGACAGCGCTCGTACGTGGTACGATAACCACGAGTCAACGCTGTCTTCGTGAGACGAATTTCGGCAACAAATTTTCGGGACATTCGCAAACACCGACCGCCGTGATTCTGCTCTGCAGCTCATCGAAGCACGCATACAACAACAGAACGAGAGCGCCGTCATGTTTGTGGAGGACATGACCCGCCTATTTGGCCGGGCTGACCCCGAGATGCCTGAAGGTAAAAAACTCCAACACCTGATGAGGGGCGTCAGAGAAGATCTGTTTGCCGGTCTCCTACGCAACCTGCCAACAAGCGTAGTGGAATTTGTCAAAGAGGCTACGACAATCGAGCGAGCACTGCAGCAACGGCGCCGATACCACAACCAACCAAACAACACATCTCCCAGCCTCTCTGCTTTGACTGCCAGCAGTGAGTGTTCTCTGCGTGAGCTCATTCGCGAGGTTATTCGTGAGGAGATCCGAAACCTCCTTGTGACTCCGCAAGAAAATACCGTGGCTAGCTTGCGTTGCAGAAGTTGTGCGGCAAGAACTCCGCCACGCATTTTCGTTGCCTGAATCGATTTCAGACCAGCGGTCTGTAAGCTACGCACCGGCCGTCCATCGACCCACTCCAGTGACGTACAATTCAACACCACTGGCTTATCGCGACGTCAGCCAAGGGCCTTACAACGAGCCGTGGGCCCCAGCTTCCAATCCGCCGCATCCGTATCCACAGTCTAACGTACCTATGCAAACGTCGCCGATGTACACTCCGTCGACATCTGAATCTTGGTCACCAAGAATGCTCACCAGTTGACCACCCATTCGGAAGACGGACTTGTGGCGCACCGTCGACCGTCGACCACTTTGCTTCCAATGCGGAGAAGCCAGCCACGTTTTCGCATTTGCCCATACCGTTACCATAGACATCAGAACTTTCTACAAACCTCCCCTCGTGCTTATCTCGATAACCACCGTGACAGCAGTGCAGGCCCGCAAGCACAGCAACCTGATGTGCCATATCGTCGACCCCGTTCTCCTACACCAGCACCTAACTCGCCGCAGCAGCGCAGTTAGGCCGAGGTGGCCCGGAGCAGATCCCCTGGCCCTCGTCGGAGAAACTAACAGGAGCGACCTTTGGGGGAAAGGTTGCCACCCGTCGAGATGCTATAACACCCCCAACATCTTCACTACGATGTGATACGACGGATGATATCATGGGTCGTACGACTGACGATACCAAGGACGATACGACGCAACGGACATCAAAGGAAATCGTAAGCGCCAATCTAGACATTTGTATAGACGGACGCCCAGTAACAGCGCTGGTAGATACTGGTGCGGACTTCTGTATTATCAGCCTACTGCCTAAAAAAGGTCACAACAATATATGGATGGGCCCAAACATAAGAACCGCATGGGGTCAATTGGTGACGCCGACGGGCGAATTTACCGCTCTAATTAATATCAGCAGTTCAGATTTCGTCGCCACTTTCGTAATTTTATCCGAGTGCTGCAAAGACCTGATTTTAGGCATGGACTTCCTGCGTGAATACGGCACCGTTATGAACATCCCTGAGAGATCGGTTGCGATTTGGATGGCCCCAGGTCAAGTTTCGGATGAGTCCTGTACAGACCAGCGACGTAAACCTTTGCGCGTAATCGACGACGACGTGACCATCCCGCCGCGGTCGAGTGCGCTCGTAGCTGTGACATGTCACGCATCAAGCAATTGTGAAAACATCGCCGAGCAAATTGCAACACTGCTATTCAGCCATGGTTTATCTATCGCAAGAGGCGTCGTGAGTATAAAATTCAGACACACGCACATCCTTGTTACGAACTTCAGCTCTGAACGCCGACATCTGACGAGGGGCATGGCAGTCGCGTACATGGAAGAGCTCACCGAGGTGACAGACTGCCTAACTCTTGAGAAAGATAATTCATCTGATCTACCCCCCGTACCTCTATCTGTTGATATTGGCCCAAGTTTGCTGCCGGCGCAGAAGCAAAGTATCCTGCAGCTTATTAACCAGTTTGAATATTGTTTCTTTTCGACGTCCAGGGTCTATCAAACGCCACTGACGTAACATCGAATTATAACGGACGACATGACCGGACCCATCAGGCAAAACCCGTACTGGTTAACTCCGCGGGAACGTGAAGCCATCGAAAATCAGGTGCGACAGATGCTTGAAGATGACGTTATTCAGCCCTCGAAAAGCCCTTGGGATTCGCCGGTTGTATTAGTGAAGAAAAAAGACGGCACCTTACGTTTCTGCGTGGATTACCGCAGGCTGAATCAGGTGACAAAAAAAGACGTCTACCCACTTCCGCGTATCGACGATTCACTCGATCGACTACGACATGCACGTTATTTCTCGTCAATGGATCTAAGGAGTGGGTATTGGCAGATAGAAGTCGATGAAAGAGACCGGGAGAAAACAGCTTTCGTGACACCTGATGGCCTTTTTAATTTAAGGTACTTCCATTTGGCTTGTGCTCAGCACCGGCAATGTTTCAGCGGCTAATGGATACCATAGTATCAGGCCTCAAGTAGCAGACATGCTTAGTGTATTCAGATGACGTCATCGTATTTTCTGCCACATTCGACGAACATGTCAGGCGACTGCGCTCAGTATTTCAAGCCATCCGTTCCTTGAGCCAGAAAAATCTCACTTCGGCTTCGAAGAGCTTCTGTTCCTGGGGCATCTTGTCAACAGTGAAGGTGCGTGGCCTGACCCTGCAAAAATAGCTGCCGTTACAAATTTTCCAGTGCCAACTGACAAAACGGCGGTCAGACGGTTTTTAGGACTGTGTGCGTACTACCGACGCTTCATTGAGAACTTCTCGCGCCTTGCCTCGCCGTTGACCCGCCTTACCAGAGAAGACGTCGCATTCGTATGGGATGAAGAACAGCAAAAATCATTCGACGAGCTGCGGCAACGCGTTCAGAAGCCATCTGTCTTCGCACACTTTGATGATGACGTTCGACAACAGTGCACACCGATGCTAACAATGTCGCTTGGGAGCTGTACTCGTGCAGTGGCAGGATAGCACTGAACGAGTAATTGCTTGCGCGAGCAGAACTCTTTCACGTGCGGAAGAAAATTATTCCACCACGGGAAAAAAGTGGTTATGCAATTCCGCCTATATCTCTATGGTCGTCCTTTTAATGTTGCCAGCGACCGTCACTCACTCTGCGGGCTGACAAATTTAAAAAACCCTTTAGGACGCTTGGTGCGCTGGAGCCTGAAGCCTCAAGAATTTGACATGACGGTGGTCTACAGATCGGGGAAGTGACATTCAGACGCCGATTGCCTTTCTCGTGCGCCATACGAACCTGCAATGGCAGAGGGTGACGATACAGCTTTTGTCGGAGTTGTAAAGACGGCCACTGTCGCACAGCTGCAACGAGAAGACCCGGAACTAAAACCCATATTTCTTTTTTCGGAGCGTCACACTTCAGCTGGACCTAGACTGTGTGCGAGAGGGCTTTCGTCATTTTGCTTGCGCAATGATGTCCTGTATAAGATGAACTTCACTTCACACGGAAACGACTACTTACTCGTCGTGCCAACATCTCTAAGGAGTGAAGTATTACAGGCATGCCACGATGAACCAATATCCGGCCACTTGGGTTACACGCGAACGCTGTGCAGAGTGAGGCAGAAATACTACTGTCCAAGACTGGCGGTGACCGTTCAACACTATCTTCGGACGTGCCTTGATTGCCAGCGCAGAAAAGTCTCACCCGTCATACCAGCAGGCCTCCTTCATCCTATTGACGTGCCTGTTACTCCATTCGCTCAAGTCGTAATGGATATTTTGGGCCCATTTCCCACCTCATCGGCAGGTCGCAGAGGGATAATAGTAGCCACCGACTACCTCACTCGTTACACCGAGACCAGGGCTCTGGAGAGAGGCACGGCAAGTGAAGCAGCCCGATTTTTTGTGGAGAATGTGGTGCTGAGGCATGGCGCTCCATCAGTAGTAATAACTGACAGGCGAACTGCATTCGCAGCCGAACTATTACAGGCAGTTTTCAGACTTAGTGGCACATTCCACCGGCGAACAACGGCGTATCATCCGCAAGCGAATGGTCTTACGGAGCGTCTCAACAAGACACTTGCGGATATGCTCTGCATGTACGTCGATGTGGAGCATAAAACTGGGACGAGATCTTGCCGTATGTCACGTTCGCCTATAACACGGCTCATCAAGAAACAACAAGAACAACGCCATTCCGCCTTCTTCATGGTCGTGAAGTAACCACTATGCTGGATGCCATGATTCCGCACGAGTGCGAAAATGTCGAAACGGATGCTGATTATATCAGCAAGCTTGTCGAAGAAGCGCGACAACTTGCATGCCTACGTATTAGTCACCAGTAGGTCTACGATTCAAGACGGTACAACCTTCGTCACCGACAAGTCTCATACGAGCCAGGAGAAAAAGTTTGGATATGGACTCCTATTCGGTGCCGTGGCCTCTCAGAAAAACTGTTAGGACGGTACTTCGGTCCCTATAAAGTTCTACGACGTCTCAGTGACGTTAATAGACCGATCCCACAGGCCAGTTTCGCGACGCCACCGCTGCCGCGGCAGCCGCGGTGCATGCCGGTACTTGTAGTCGTCCGGGCGCACCAGCCAGCCGAAGTGCCTGAGCGTTCCCTTTTCGATAGATTTTTCGGTCGTGTGGAGCCGTCTTACGATGGGAGGATTTACGTGCTGTGTTCCTGGATGCTACAACAACAGCACAAGGGATAAAGGCTTGGGTTTCTACGTCTTTTCTAAAGAGCAAAAGCTTCGGGAGACGTGGATTCAGCGTATCAACAGGGCTGGACGGGGCGGCAGGTAAGACATCTTATTAAATGTATAGTGCCGCTTTGAAATTAAATAAGCGTATTGCGGTGGTTTTTTTTATGTGAATGTTTAATCATGAAGCTTAGCATACCAAAGAATATGATCTTTGCTCACTCTGCCTGCGTATACTCTTACCGGATAGCTCAGCCGCGGTTCGCGGTTGTGCATGCCGGTCATTTTTTAGCGCATCTTCCTTATTCTAGCGTTTTTTGTTACCGCTGCGTACTAATATTATTATTATTACGAGTTGTAGTGCTGAGGTCTTTTAGTTTTCCATGTTGCGCAAGTGCAGCACCGCGTACGCGGCTTGCGTTTTTTTTTTACAACGCAAGTGGCAAGCATGCAGGCATAAGGGGAAGGCAAGCTCATTGACGAGGCTCTCCTAATAGCTCTACCGTACATCGAGACCTTACTTTTTAGAAACGACGTAACCTACTTCACGGCACGCTTGCAACAACTTACCCAGAACTCGTTGTGCCAAACGGCGATTAGCTTTCGCGGATCACCCTCGATGCAAACGGTGCCTCTGTAATCTCGTCCTTTCCGTAAAATAGTTATCTGGTGCATGCACGCGGCCGATTTCGCTGCACCTATGCAGATGAGTGGCACAAACAGCTGTATAATTTACCTGTGTGTGGCGTTGTCGAGTGAGGCTGAAAATTAAAATTACATTTGTCATTTGCCCTTGACTGATATGGAACTTTTTGTACGTTAATCAAGAGAAAGTGATACTGTTGTCTTGCAGTGGTAGCATGCAGACTGGGCATTTAAAAGGAACCTGAAAACGCAGTAGGTGATGTTCAGTGTCATATGAAATAATGCTGGAACTTTTTGTGCTCAGGTTCTCCAAGTTTACGCCTACCACGGGACACCGAGTATGCGGTGCCCACTTCGAAGGAGGAAAAAAGACTTACATGAACAGAGTGCCCACAATCTTCCCGCTGAGACCGCAAAAGGTGGAAAGGAGGCGACCACTCATAAGGACACAGGTAATTTGAGCGCAAGCAATGTAGAGAAATAGCATTACGTTGTTGCATATGCACCACTGAATATTTTGTTATGGCTTAATGCAGGCAATGGCTACTTAAGGGTTGCGCTACTGCGTAAAAAAAGCAATGATGCCGAGTAAACTTAAACTCGTGTGAAGGTATAAAATGCAGTATTGGAAATCTCACCTGCAGCTGCACAGTGTGTTGTAAAAATCACTGAAACACATGGCTTTCTTTTTTCATTTTCCCCTGACAGCCGGAACTTCCCAACAGTCCAACTGTGGCACCCCAGCACGACCCAGAAGTCTCAGGCTCTGCCATCACTAGTAGCAGCAGCGACAGTGAAGACACCGCACAGCAAAGCACTCTACTCATGGACCATGCCTACAGCAGCCAAGAGTCAAGCTATGACAGCTGCTAATGGAGAGCGGCGCGTTTGCATATTCACGTGCGCGAAACATGGGACGCTACAATGTCAAGAGTTTTCAAAATATAGCGACCGCGTCGTTCGGTGGACTAAAATCAGAACGCCACCCAAATTAAGAATTTCAAATATTATTACTACCAAATGCTGTATGTTGAACGCGACACTCGTGCACGTAAGTGCCGTAAGACACGAAAGGTTCGGCGCCGCATATAAAGCCTGTCCCCAACAGCACGTCACTGTGCAAACAAACGTTGCAATCCCCGAGATGCACATGCGAAAAAAACAGTCGCGCAGAACAACCGCTTACATACATCACTCAAATGAAAACGGTACTCAACAGGCAATGAACGGGTGGCTGTCCTAAGTCCCGCCGAAACGAAGGAGTAGCAGGCACTTATGACCGAAATTCGCGCCGCCTGCTCCCATTAACAGACAATGTAGGTATTGAAAATACTCACATGACGACTTTTTCTTGCTGGTGAAATCGGAGAGACGTCCGCGAAGCTCCGGCGCAGTACTGAAAAAGCGGCGGCCACTGCGTAGTCGCTGTAGTCTGGTTGACCGATTGACTACAACTAAGATGGCGGCGGGGCAACTCCGGAAAACCGGCGCATGCGCTGATCGGCTGGTGGGATCGGTCTATTTTCAGGGATTAGCGCAACACGTCCTCCAGCGAAGCGTGCCCTCTCTCCACTTTTCGGTCGTATAGGGAATTTAACATTCACCTCTACTTCAGGGCATAGGACTACCTGCGCTCTAGGTGCTAATAAGTACGCAGCTTACCACCTGATTTTCGTTCCTGTAAGACTTCGTCGTCGTGAGCGCTATAGCTTTGTACTCGAAAGCATGCGCTTGCATCTGTGTGGCTGCTGGGATCGCGCTGGCGCGTTTATCGTTGCGGGTGCGTTCCCGCGCAGAAAGACTTGCGTCAACGCGAGCATGCGTGTGCACTTGAACGCGTCCGCATACACTAACGGTAACCTTCTCGTACAACCGCGAAACGGGCGATATTGCAAGTGCGGGCACGTTAGGCGGTACGGTGCATGTTGTGAAGTGAGTACTCTTCGCACTTGTTCGCAATAAGACGTTGTACTTGTGAACCGCGACATCGTCAAAACAGGGAAGAAAAATAAAAGATTTGCTTTGTCCCCTGAGAAGCTTGCCTTCTCTTTCAACACATGTGCTATAGGGGACGTCCACTCTGATCGCCTTTGCAGTCATGACAGAATGTTTCGAGAGCAGGTCGCTCAAACTACCGTTCCGACAAGCGGACATGTCATGCTGTGACTGCCCACCTGAGCACGTGCACGCACACTTCCTCGACCTTCTCGGTGATGGGGCTCCATTCAGTGATAGATTTAGAACGACGCGAAGACCTACACAAGAACTGTACGTTCCGCTGTGTCAACCGCGGGATGAGCGCCGGATCAGAGCAGATTTGGTGCTGCATTAAGCGTTGGATCGGATCCTGTTCTTTGACGCAGGTGGCAGAAGCAAGTCGACAGCCTCCAGAACGAGAGCCGGTGGCAGCATGCGGGGTCGCGCTCGCCGAGTCCCCACCTCCGCCGCACCCTTGACTGTCAATGCCTCGCCCAGGGGGTGCCACGGCGTCCCCGCCAAGCCCGAAACGGCTGGAGTGATGGGGCTCGACGCGATCACTACGGTGAGAATCGGCGTGACGCCATTGTCTCTCGCCTCTTCAGTCGCAATGCTTCGCCATACGACCGCAACGTGCATTTGTGCATTCCCACCAGCGACCAATGTGGGAACCACGCTGTGTGAACACGAAAGACTGGCAGCGTCTCTTATGCATTCGCCTAAAACTACTGGAAAGACGAAAGCACTGTTTTTCAGCAGAGCTCTAATTTTACCTTTTTAATGTTAACACAGCCCTTTGATGACATTCCGTTTTGTCCACCGATGTGCCTTCATAGCATCGGTGGACAAAACAACAAAAGCAACATAACAATAACAACAAAAGCAACAAAAGCTTCAGAAGATAGCCCGCCGATTTTCGAGTTTCTTTCCCTTTGCCAAAATATATTCAAGTAAATGTTCTTTTGAGCTACACAAAATGATGAAACATTCCCTTGTAATTTACGCACGTTACTTTTATATGAAAAACGAAAAATAGACTTTCCTTACCATAGAACAGAACTTGAAAATGTGCTTTCAGTTCGGACGGTAGAAGGTGGTAAATAAGGTGACCGGAAGTTTTTTTCCCGGTACAACGCTTGCAACGTTGAAACCGTCTATACTGTTTCGTGTAGAAAGATGAGTATCATTATCACGAACGGCTCCCAGCTTTCTAGCGCGCATGCCCTCTTCGACCTCTTCTTGGTCTTCTGCTTCCCCCTCCAAACGTGTGCACCCGGTTCGTTCTAGTTCGTGCCAGATTTACTGTATATGCTACCTAAAGGTAGCATATGCGGTAACTAGAGTTCATGTTCTCTAGCAGCGCCCTCCAGCGTGATAGCAGTAAGCCGGAACGTGCAGAAAAAGAAAGAACGAGGTGGGATTCGAACCAGCGTCGACGATCTGAATGCGAACCTCGTAATCCCTCTAGCGCGCCAGCACAGCAAAACATAACGTCGTGTAGTATGGCATCAATCAAGCGTAAATCAAGTGATGTGGTTGACTTGTATTTAACGAAAAGCCGCAACTACTGAAATGTGCAGAAAATGTGTTAAGTGACGCGGGCGTGGCGCAACGATTTAAAATTTCTCACTTCACCTGCGGTTCTTTATGCCATGTACCCTGAACGTGCGGACTGCCCTGCCAGTGGACTATTAGCAACATTCAACCATGTGTTGTGGGAATGTCAAGCCATCGGCTCCGCTTTGAGCGAGGACAGGTGGGCAGCGCTCTTACGCAGCCGCGAACTTAACAATCATACCCTGGCCGTCCAGAGTGACTGTGAACGGGCCGCCAAGCTCGGCTTCACGGCCCCTACATGGGATTAGCCAGGTGGCGTGGGGCCTCCCCTGCTTCTTCTCGGGACCAAAAGAAAGTTTTACTCATCATCATCACTGGAAGAAATCCAAGCCTTATTTACATGTATTCATTCCTAGCAATTAAATTTTATGTCGCGGAAATTTTTCGTAGCAATACTTTTTTGTCTTTTCTGTTAAGTAGAGACTCATTAAAGAGCCACTGACGAATGTCATTGGTTAACACTCGTTTTCGGTAGCAATGTTCTTCCGAACGCCTTTCCAGCGTCTGGTGAAACAACGGGGGACGTGGGTGCGCATTGCGTTCGCATGTCGTCCCCTGAATGGAGCTCGGCTGAAGTGCTTAAACGTACGTAGCTTTGTAAATCTTCTAGTTTCGCACGAACCTGACAGCAGATTCCAGCTGCGCGTAAGACGAGATTGGGAGAGGAGGCAGCTGTCGGTATCTATAGGTAAACGTGAAATGTCCTTACGGACTCTATAGACACTTCAACGGTTGTTGGGGTTTTATACGTTTCAAAACCACAGTAAGATTCAAAAGAACGATAAGATTATGAAGAGCGCCGTATAGTCTAGGGCTACGAAAAGTTGACCATCTGGTGTTCTTTAACGTGTAGCTATATATATCAACAGGCACACGTGCTTCACGGCGTTATCACCTCCATCGAAATCAAGCCACCCTGACAGGGATTCGTTCCCGCGACACTAGGGTTAGCAGTCCGGCAGCATAACCAGTAGTGTCGGGTAGTATATAGGTATTAACTAGCGAGATCACGTGTGTAACCATCATCATCATTTTCATCTTTTTCGTTCACTCTCCCCTCTGGTAAGGTGACCTGACTTCACGTCGGCTCCTCCTCCTCCTCCTCCTCCTACTACTACTACTACTACTACTACTACTACTACTAATACTACTACTACTACAACTACTACTAATATTTCAAGTGCAATTACAACTGCTATGGCTACTACCACTATTACTACCCCGAACAGATGGCAGAGAGTAGAGTGAGACAGCCTCGGTGTAAAAGCCCGCGTTGCGCTTTCAACGTCATGTGGAAACAGTGTATGGCTGGTCACATTTTGTGCCACGTTGCCAGCAATATTGCTCGCTCCTTGGTGTTTTTTGTACCTCGAGCTTATTGTGCTGCTCTCGCAATGATGACTCGCAGGACAGCGAGTCGGTGATCGACATGCAGGCCGAGCAGTACATCTCGGCCATCCTGCCCGACCCGTCGACGACCGTCTACGCCATGGGCCAGACCTCCGGGCACTCGGCAAACGCTCCGTGCAGCAGCTACTCGGCGGGCGACGGCTGCGAGGAAGAGCCGCCCGTCATGTCGTCGCCGAGACGCCCCCGTGAGTCGGTCATTAACTCTTATTAACGCGATAGCGTTAACGAGCTCGTTTTGCGGAATATCAGCGTTGTTAATGGGCTAAAATCCACGATGTAGTCAACTAACTTAAAATAAAAAAAAGCTTGCACACAAGTGGCAATCAAACCCAGACCACCAGCGTGACAAGTAGGTGATCTACCACAGAACTGCGCCATTGCTTGTAACTGCCCCCTCCCCCCAACAAAAAGAAAAAAGTATTAAATTGGCCGCGTATCTTCGTGATCGACTGCAAATGCTGTCGAAAGACGAGAGAGATAGAGAGATGAAAAAATTAGGAAGAGATAAAAAGGACGCTATTTTCTGCCTGCCGTCGCGGGAGCACGGCTTATTGCCTTGAAGGAGGGGGAGGGGGACGTAAAGTTAATAGAAATAAGAGAGGAGAAAAAGAAAACTTGAAAGGCATGACAAGAGAGAGTCTTGTCAGTGCAGTCGGTAGCACGAAGCGAAAACACTCGGATATAAGGCGGCGAGGTCCGCAGAAGCGCAGAACTCGCGTAAAGCTCTAAGGGCTGGAGTTTTGAGCGCGCGGGACATGGAACGTCCTCCACTGTTGCCGCAGGCAGACCGAGCAGGCGATGACGGCTCACCATCGCGCGACGTTCTCCGGCCAGGGTAGGGCAGGAGGT